TTCTATTATTTCTGTTTAATGACCAATTCATATTTTATAGAAAAACTGTATTTTATTTTAAAAACAATGTAAAAACTGCAGCTGTAATGATTAATAACAGTTTTAAATTATAACATATGAAAGTTAATAAAATCTTTAGAAGATCAAGCTTTATAAAGGAGAGCTTTATGGAAAAATAAATGAATTATTCTCTCTCCAATCCTCTCTTCGCTTGAATAAAATTTAAATCGATAAAAAATTTTCCTGAAAAAACGTGACATTCAGATAAATTATTATTCAATTTCGAAAGTCAAATAGAGACGAGCCAACGAAAGGGGTTGTCCTTGCTTCGTATCTGTATATTTATAGAACGTGCCGCATCTCTCGACGCGAAGATCTGAAAACAATTGAAAAAGAGCTCAAAGGGTTAATTACGACTTTCGTCGAACGGTCCGACGGGCGATATCGAGAAGCGAGGGTCAAGACGGCGGTCAATATCGCCGCTGAAGGAAAGTAGCTCGAGAAACGCGCTGCTCTCGATCTTTTATTCATGTCACGTCAACGAGAACCTCTCTCCCGTGGCTCTTCCTGTCTTCCCGCGCGTCCAAACTGCATCCGGCTGTAACGCGTCCGCGACGGACGTGTCATTTTGCGCGATAACACGCGCGTGTTGCGACACGCGTGACACATGAATGGCCCCGGCTACCCTCGATGACCTGCCACGTATGCGATGGGAGTGCACTCTTCGCAGGAGACATACCCCCATATTCCTTACAAATGCGGGAACATCGCTCATAAATCCCCGTACCGACAAAAAGAAATTGTATCTAAAATTTAATGAGCCAATCAGAAATCACGCGAGAATTCGATAATAATATTCGCATTTAGATAAGTATTATATTTTACTAGTGTTTTACTAGATCTTTTCATAACTCTGTAAAGAAAAGTGTTCAAAGAACATCTTATTATTATACAATTTTCCTATAATTATATATTTGAGATTTATTAATATTTAAACTTTATTAATCGCAATTAATAGTTTAGTAACAATATTCATTGTGTATAATACCATGAAATTTTCCCTTACTGAAAATGTCGAGGAATATCATTTGTCAATTTATCAAACTTTAAGTCGATATTTTTAATATCTATATATAAAATTGAAATTTTTGAACGACGAATGATATTCTGTTATTTATTTGATTATTGATTGTTTAAACTGCATATATTAAAAAAAAATGATTAATTTTATATTTCATAGGAAACAACAATATTATATACTAAATTTAGATTTTCCACAATACAAATATGATATTACAACAATGTTAAAATAATAAAAGTATTTGTATAAACAATATTATATGAAGCATGATAGTTGGAAATTTGAACAGACGTGAGTACGTGAGACCGATAAACAATATGGATGGAAGAAGAGAAGATAACGAGCTATTCATCGGCCATTGCGTTCGCAATCCGGACTCGAGATGTATCGAGAATTAATTCGACGGCCTATTCGTTTGTGTGCATTTTTGTTTGGACATGTTGAAGCACGTATTTATTGTTTTTTTTTTTTTTTTTTTCGTCGGCACGTGTAATGCATACGCGCAAAGTATTTTCAGCGTATCGCTGATTTGCGTTACAAAGGCAAGTTTTTAATCACGCACATCCGTGTAAGCGACACGTAGAAAAAAAACTGAATTTTATTCTACGGTAGCAAAAATAACAATCCTCGAATTCAGGTACGAATATAATTTGTAACATAATAGTTTTTTAACATCATATACGATATAAACATGTGTAATTCAGCTGGTTGAAGTTTAGAACGTTTCTTAAG